TATAAAACTGTGCCAGTCGATATTAATGACCTTCGGCAAAATATTATTGACTCCTTGAGACAGATAAGAAGACGAAAGATCGAAAGAGCAATTGCGAATATGAGAAGACGTGCAGAATTATGTATACTGATGGGAGATGGACAGTTTGAACAGCTTCTCTGATTATTTATATTTTGCACTTGATTTGTTTGTTCTGATCGGTTCTTATTTAACTGGTAATTAAGAAAATGAATTTGGAAACTGTCATTCTGCAATCTAAAAGAGTGAACTTCTAGAGTTGAAACTGTACTGAACTGTCAAAATTTGAAATCAACAAATTCGACAAATTTGTTTCCATGGCAATCTTCGAAAAAATGTTAATTAGGAAATTTCGACCATGATATGAAACCAAAACTTGTGTAGTACACATCGTCGAAATCAGAAAAAAAACTGTATTCAGAAATATAAAAAATCCGATATGGCGTCCATAAGAAAAAAAAAGTTGACTGTCGTTTGTTTCTTTCTTCGTGTGTTAAAAATTATTTGCAAAAAACTGCTTTGAAACTGTTTCGGTTAAAAATGGCTAACTTGATCGGTTTTCTTATAAAAAAATAAAAACGAAAATCGCATAATTCAGTTTTTCGGCGATATCTTGAAAACCAAGAAAGACAGGTCAGTTTATAGTTCAGCACCAGAATGCGCAACTTTATCCTAATATGAGCAACATCGTATCTCTCAAGATAACCGAGATCCCCATGCTTAAGCTCGAATTATGGGCACCCTGTATAATAAAAATATGAAGCAAGATATGTAAATGAAGTGAATTTTATTCACTTGTTGTTGAGTTATAGTATATCTGTTTAGTCTTCTTTCAATTTTTCTCAATGTCATATTTCATTTGACATAACTCCCATGATTGAAATTGTAACTTGGGTACCTGATAGCAACAAATAAATAGTAATAAAAAGTTCATAATGTAGAATATGCACCTGATTAAATATTTACTAAAATAATTGAATTCCGGAATTATTCAGTAACTTATTCATTGACATGTTCAAATTGATATCCATTTTCCCCCATATACAGTTGACAAACTTTCTCAATACTTCCTAATACAGTGAGTGGCCCAACATACTTGAAGAACTTTGTGCAACAACAGAGGCAGTTTTCCAGGAATTACAAAGACATCTTTTAATGATTAATATGTATTGAGAAAGTTTGTGATGAAAAATGGACATCAATTTGAACAATTCAATGAATAAATCATCAGGTGCTTATTCTACATTATAAACTTTTCATTACTATATATTTGTGGATATCAGGTATCTGAGTCTTGTGTATTGCAAGTTAATTAGTGTTGAAATTGTTATTTCCCCCTTCATGGAACAATCAAAGGAAATATTCCTTCAATTTTAAATTTCTTTATATGAAAATCCCTCGAAAAACCCATAGCCCACTATTAAAATTCAATGTTTTAGTGATTTTTTAACATATTTGAAGATGTTATATTCATACATCATATATCATTTCGAAGGAAAAAAATAAGGAATTTAATGAGCCTATAAAATACAGGGTGTTCAATTTAAAAAATCATAAGTTTGAGTCATATTTTCAAAACCACACCCCGAAAAAAAATGTTTGTGCGCCACTGAATTCTGCATAAAATTCTCTATGGGTTAAGATTTTAATTTGACATTTTCGCTGATAAACTTCGTAGATATAGAGGGCAGGGGCGGACTGGACCGGAGGGCGGGAGGGCGAAGCCCTCCGCGCCTTTGCCCAGTGGCGCCCCTGCCCTAAGAATCGCCCTTTACGAAGGCCAGAAAGCAACGTTTTTTTTTATTTTCAAATGCAGACTTCTTACTCGGACTGACGACTTGTTACTTAGAATTCTGGACCACCTGGTATAAAAAGTATGTGAGCTTTTACATCTCCTCTTTCATCACAACTTGTTTCATCCAACAAGAACCATTTTTGTGTGATGAATTGGTAATTACCCAATCAATTTGGAAATGTACTGAGTGATATGTTAGTGTACCACTTCCTGTAGCTATTTTATTTTTTATATTTCAAAAATGAATAAAAACTTGCCTCACAGGGAATTTTAATCAATTCTAGAATCTGAATTTAAAAAAATGTGAGAGCTATGAGTAGAACATCTTATATTCAGGGTCCAACGATTCAATAGGGACAGTATATTGCTATTTCCTAAACGGTTAGAGATAGAAATTTGATCAGATTGAACAAAAGTTGCGTCAACCTCTTCAATATGACGTTTTACAAATTCAAAAAATGTCAGCCGTTTCTGAAATATTTTGAAAAAACTGAAAATCACTGATTTCGCTTTTATTATTTGCTTAGTTGATATTTGGGAAAAACTATTGAAATTTTGTACAAGCAGATGATTTATCATGATGAAGAAGTTGGGATTGTCAGAAATATTTTTCAATATTTTCAGATATTCAACATGCAACTTACGTTTTTCTTATGAGCGCTATATCTGTTCTTTATATACCATTGAATGAAAATAGCGCTAAAGAACAGTAGAAACATTTTCAAATGTGGTGGGCCATGAAAATAACTCAGTCGTCATGACTACAATATCAATACTTCTTAATAACCATGAATAACACGCTACATTATTACAAAAGGCACAGAAAAACTCAAAATATAAATTTTTCGTTGAATAATCGAGATATTATTTCCTCTAACTATTATAGAAGGTTTTCATTTAGTGTAAGACTTGGTCTTGACATAAGTTTTATTCCAGTTATATATCAATGATTAAATTTAAATTGGTAAATCTCTGAAAATAATAAGATAGAATATTTCTGAGAATCCCAACTTCCTTTTCATCCATGATTAATTACCTTAACACACAAAATTTCAATATCTTCTCTCTAATATTAACCATCAAGAGAATAATTAGGAACGAAATCAGAGATTTTAAGTCCTTTCAAAATATTTCAGGAATGGCTGACATTTTTCGAAAGTGCATAACGTCTATTGAATAGGTTCAAATTGAGCAACATTTGTCCTATCAAATCAACTTTCTATCTCTTACCGTTTAGGAAATAGGAATACTGTCTCTATTGAATCGTTGATGAGACACGACTGTATATTTCCTTACCATCGGAAAGACCTCTCAAAGAGCTTTCCAAAAACACATCATTCAATATAATCATCTTCCATATTTTTCAATTCATGAGTATCCAAGACTAACAGAGTTTGATCGATTTTTGAACGATTTCTGGAAAAAAATAATGAGAATGATTGCAAATCTGATCAGTAAAAAATCAAAATGTTATCATTGTCATAGCCTATACCCTCAAACACCATTCAAAATCGATGAAACTCTGTTTGTTTCGAATCGTTTTAAAAGCCCATATTCAAAGGAATATATGCAGAATGAATACATGCAGAAGATGATGATTTTTCAGATAGTGAGAATGTATCTGTTTATTCGAGAAGGAAATAATATCATATATCAGTGATCGGGGTTGTCTTCAATTTTTTATGCAATATTCCAATATTGGGCCAAATCCGAGTTGAGATTCGGAATTAAAAAAAAATGGTGCACTTCTTCGCCTCTGTATAAACACTCAGACAATCATTTCATGTTGCGCCCTTTGATCCACAAAGCCCTCTAGCTTTTTTCAACCCAGTCCGCCCCTGATAGAGGGGGTCCAAAAAGTATAAATTTTCAAAATCGCCCTGTATCTCATAAACGGAAACAGTCCTGCAAAATCAGATTAGGCCATCTTGAGTTTCACAAAAAAGTAGCACAGGACCGCGAAAACCGCAAGGTTCTATCTCCAAAGATAACTGATATATCATGCAAAAGCATGGAAAACTGGACACACTGTTACACATGAGCACAATGTTTAGGAGCATATTATATCTATTTGAAGTTATTATTTTGCTCTTCGACCCTAAATAAACTTATAAAAAGGTGCATGGGTGGATGTTTTTTCAAATAGGGATAACAATTAGACCTGAATTTAAAACATTATTTTCACAGTTTTTCAGATTTTTTTCTGAAATATTATTTCAATTCATTTATGTTTCTGAAAATAAACAGTTATTTCTGATATAGTGTTAACTTTTATAATCTCCATTATTACTTTTTTCTATAGTCAAAAAATGTGCTAATGCAGTAGCTTTTCCAGGTACATGTGCAAAGAGAGGTGCAAATGAATCAGGAACATCACAAGTAATTATGTTGATCTCCACCAGATATTACTCCAGATGAATCTGCCAGAATCAAGCACTCATACCAGGAGAAGAGCTTGTTTACAATAAGTTTCCCAATGAGTAGAGCTAGTGTTGGTGGCCAGTGGCATGTGCAGTACTTCTATGTCTAATGTCTATAAAATTATTATTATAAAACTTTGGCAACAATGAGCATGACAGACCAACTTTGATTCAAGGAATCATATGAATAATTTTCTGTAGAAAAGAAGTAGCTTCAGTTTTGATGTCAATTTAAAAGGGATAACAGATGAGTGTAGATTGATGAAAAACTATTTCAACCAGGCAACCCTATGAATGGATCCAACCAAGGGGCCCAAGGCACTAATCATGTCAAGTATGATGTATTTACCAATGGTACTTAATTGGGTCATTGGAATGAAAATATGAGGATATATATGATATATGAGACAACCTTTAGTCATAATTTATTATTCCACATGTTATCTTTTAGGTAATATGTCAATGGAATAACAAATGGGATATATATTACTATTAGTAAAGGGTATCAAAATGTTCATAACATCATCAATAGTTCATGGTGGAGAATATTGGAAACAAATAAGTTTTCATGCAATTGCACAAAATAGACATTTCAACTTCTTCATGAAATCTTTCCTTTTTCTAATGCATTTTATAACTGCAAGATACCTCTTTATGCTGCTTTATAGGCTGAAAAGTATTTTAGCAGTTTTGTATTGATCCTAGTGCAATAATACAATGCAATACAATTCAATGGAATATTATGAGTTGATCGTAGTGAAACTTACCCAGTATCTCCTAATCCATGTAAAAATATCAGCTGAAATTATACCACCATTAAAAAACATGAACTATGAATGGAATTGAATTGAACCTACCGTTCCAGTATGTTTCGCAGTTGCAGACAACACTACCGGAGCTGACATTTTATTGTTTATGAACTAATATTATTTTTTCAGGCTATGAACTCAAATCAGATTTATTTCACTTTTATATCCTCTTGACATAAAATGAAAACTTAAAAATTATTGGAGTGGCCACTGGCCATTTGAGATTGACATCAGTGACACTGACATCAACCATTGTGAAGTAGGATGCCGATTGCCGAATCATTATGAATATCTCTCGCCAGTCGTTCAAACTGTTCAAACTAGGGTCCCTTGATGAAAATTGACGTTAAAGTCATCTTAACAGGGTACGGACAGATCATAGCTGCATTCTTTTTTAATGATGTAGAGACTTTAGTTTTGTCTACTGGCATCCCTGACATTGCTGTCACGTCACATCCATGGGCGCTACAAATTTCAATAATAGGTATGTACAGGGTGTTTACTTGTTGAAGATCATATGGCGAACGAGTTTTGTAATTATGATCCGATTCTATTAAAAATTGGAAGATATCTGGGGTTTTCCGGGGTTGGAGATAATGATTGTTTCGTCAAACTTGGAAAATTCAAGATGACCAATCCAATATACAGGCTGATTCACGGTGGATGGCACATTAGACGTTTCTGGAAAACTCAACTCAGGATTATTCTGAAAAGTTGGTGCCTTGAATAATTAGTTGTGTTCTATCGACCTGAAATATTCTCAGCGCTGCCACCGTGAATCAGCCCGTATAGCGAAAGAAATTTCTAATTATGATCTGATTCTATTTAAGATTGGTATCTGGGGGTTTTCGGGGTCGAACTTTATGATTTTTTGTCGATGGGGTCGGAGATTATAATTAATTCGTCAAAATTGGGATCTTTTCAAAATTGGTATCTGGGGGTTTCCGGGGTAGGAGATAATGATCGTTTAGTCAAAATTGGAAAATTCAAGATGGCGGATTCGATATGGCGAAAGACATTAGTTTATATGATTATTACTCTACCACAAATAGAAAATATGTAAGATGTGCAAGAGTGAAAATAACGTGACTATAAGTTATACTGCGTATACCTACATCTTTGTTACTTTTATCAAACAATTGTTCGAAAATGACTTTTGATTTGAGGGGGACGGAAAAATCATATGTATAACATGGGGGTAAAGTATATTCTATTCTTTATTTTCCTGCATATTTTACGTATTACTTTTTATCAGCCTACTTTTTGTCCTAGACAAAGTTTTATACATGATATACGTGATATTAGTCACTCCATAAATCCCTCACCGAGCTCGATTTCCAAAAATATATTGAGCACACATGAATAAGTACAGTAGTTTCGGTTTCCAACATTTCTCAATCATGAGGCTCAGCTCATTAAGCTGATAGATAAACTTCTGCTCAGCTTGAAATCAGAATTCATTCAGCCAATTCAGTCAACCCTAGTATACAGTCTAAGAACAGTCTCTCTTAGTGAAATATATTAAGCTTTCAGTACAATTTATATGTTCCCTACCTCGCAAAGATTATGCTGGAGTAGTAAACTCTAAATCTAGAGGACTGTTCATCTATATCTTGGTATAGTTGAATCGGGAATTCCATATGGAAATTACGTATGATACGCCAGTGACCTCAATATAACCTTAAAAACAACGAATGTCAAAAATCTAGTGTTTTTCCCTAGAATTGAATAAGGATGGAACTATATAACTGTTTCACAAACACTTTAGAGTGAGAGGAGACGAGGATCTGTCCGTACCCTGTTAGGATGACTTTAACGTCAATTTCCATCAAGGGACCCTAGTTCAAACTAGTTCAAATGAGTTGCGTGCAGAGTTGCCGTTTTTAGTACTATTGTACTTTTCTTGTACATTTTATACACATTTAGTCATTGAACTCAATATAGTTGTATTCATGGTGGAATTGTATTGAGTTCATTGCATTTAGTTCGTCAATAATACAATTAACACTAATCTAGTAAAAAAGCAAGAGCCGGATAGCCCAATGGGTGACCCATTATTGGATAGCCCAAGCTATTATTGCATACAAAACAATTAGTTGTAGAAGATATATTATGATTGGAATCCTAATAAAGCCCTCATTGATAAAAAGTCCATAATTTCCGATTCAACGGAGAAACAATGGAAGGATGGAAACAGCCATATTATTATCGGTTTGACATGTTTCGTATTATTTTTTCCCTGCGTCGGCATCAACGCCTATTGATCGATTTCGTTACATGGAGACAGAAGTTGGTCCCGCTTTGAGGACGGATGAGGTTGAGTGCAAGAACTGTCAGATGATCGACACTGGAGGCAAAACATTGAAACACAACGTCACTTTTCTTATTTATTTACAAGTGATCTAAATAGTTTTTCACAATTATTTTGGCATAGGAATCGTATTTTTCCGCTATTCATCAATTCGCTCATGCCATCACATTATGCTGTTGTGAAATGCACAAAAACTGCAGCGGAAGACGAAGTAATCCGGTTGGTACATTATGATTAAAAGTAATTAAAAGTAAGTACCTACTATAGTCACTCACATATAGTTTTCATTTTTGAAATTTGGTAATTTCTTTGATTTCTCATCGGAATTCCTTCTGCGATAGGAGCTAATAGAAATACACCTGAAATGTCTAAAATAATGCAAGAAGATTGGGTACATGCAATCAATCGGGAGGACTGGTCTGACATGCTGACGATCGTGTGTGTTGTAGACATTTTCAATCTATTAGCAGTATTAGCTTGTATTGCAGAAGTGGCAGAAGGCAGAAGGAATTTTAATAAGGAATGACAACATTTCATAATGATAACTATGTGAGATTACTATTTACCTAAAGAATCATATTCTTTAGTCTCTTGCTGCATTTTTTGTGCATTGTACAACAGTACAATGCGAAGGCATGCTTGAATCAATGAATAGCGCAAAAAACACGATTCGTATGCCAAAATATTGTGTAAAACTATATCAATCCTCTGATTCCTTCATTATTGAAACACAACCTCACTTTTTCATTTGGTTACAGAGGAATCAAAGGATTGTAATAGTTTTTCACAATATTTTGGCATACGAATCGTGTTTTTCGCGCTATTCATTAATTCGAGCATGCCTTCACATTGTGCTGTTGTACAATGCACAAAAAATGCAGCAATAAGAGACTGAAGAATATGATTTTTCAGGTAAATAGTTATCTCACATAGTTATCATTATGGAATGTTGTCATTCCTTATTAAAATTCCTTCTGCCTGCTTCTACCACTTCTGCAATACAAGCTAATACTGCTAATAGATTGAAAATGTCTACAACACACATGATCGTCAGCATGTCAGACTCAGGTCAGACCTTTTCTCCCGATTGATTGCATGAATCCAATCTTCTTGCATTATTCTAGAAATTTCAGGTATATTTCTATTAGCTCCTATTGCAGAAGGGATTCCGATGAGAAATCAGAGAAATAACCAAATTTCAAAAATGAAAACTATAATATGTATGCCAAAATATTGTGAAAAATCAGTTCAATCCTTTGATTCCTCTGTAACCAAGTGAAAAAGTGAGGTTGTGTTTCAATAATTCACAGAAGAATGAGGTTGTGTTTCAATATTTTGCCTCCAGGGTCGGTCATCGTGCACGCGACCTATAGTATGTACTTACTTTTGAATCATAATGTACCATCCGGATTGCTTCATCTTCCGCTGCAGTTTTTGTGCATTTTACAACAGCACAATGTGATGACATGAGCGAATTGATGAATAGCGGAAAAATACGATTCATATGCCAAAATAATTGTGGAAAACTATTTCGATCACTTGTACACAAATAAGAAAAGTGACGTTGTGTTTCAATGTTTTGCCTCCAGCGTCGGTCATCTGACAGTTCTTGCAGGCAACCCATTGTGAATCTGGCAGCTAAAGCACAGATTAACAAACCTTTCAGTGCTCTGTGGCAAAAGTCAGCGGCCAAAATTTCCGGAGATTGCCGACCATCCAGTAGCGTCGTAGATATTTTTCTGCAAGAACAATAAATAAATGGCAGCTCAACTACCTGATAAATTAGTTTGGCCGAACTGAATACCATATATATGAATATACTTATACAGGGTGTTCCTTAATGATATGCTGATATTCAAGGGGCCGATTCTTTGACCCATTTCAAGAATGAAACTTCATATGAACGCGTATGTCGTAAACGTCCTAACTTTTGAAAATGTTGAAAATATGCATAGATTATTTTTTTGTCCTCTCTGTATAGCTTTTCGTGATGGCAAAAATCAGTTTGCTATATGACTGAATTGCTATACAAATTCCAGAATGTTACATATATATACTGTGTGGTTATATCCAGTAATGGATGTCCTGAATGGAGTACTCGGACATCAAAATTTGAAGTCATAAAAGACGTGTACCGAATTTCATGAAGATGTATACAAAATATTGTCTCAGTTATTATCAAAAAACTGAATATTTTTCAAAACTTCATTACCCTGTATCTCAAAAATTAAGACTTTTAGGACATATACGTTCATAAAAAGTTTTCTTCTTAAAATAAGTCAAAGAATCAACCCCTCATCGCGATTATTAGCATGGCTTTATAAGGAAGACCCTGTATAAAATAAGCTAATAATATATGTTTTCATAATTAATTTATCAAGAAAAAATAATATTACCTGACTAATTTCTTGTGGAATTCCTTGGCAATTTCAGTTCTCGAAAAAAAAATCGATATTGGGTAGAAAAACGTACGACTGCAAGTAGATAATAAAATACCAATATCACCCTAAAAATCCATAGAAACTTTCTTTCTCTTTTTCTTGCGAAATTCGTTTGTAAAAGTTATTATTTCATAGTCCTAGACAAAAAACAAATTTCGACTTTGGGTTGAAATCGTGCGACTGCCAGGATGAAAATAGTTGAAATCATACCATTATCACTCTAACAATCGATTGAAACTTGGAAAGTTTCTTGCGGAGTTCGTTGGAAAAAAATATTCCATAGTCCTGGAAAAATAGAGAAAAATCGATTTCAGGTTGAAAACGTGCGACTGCCAGGATGGAAGTAGGTGGAATCATACCATTATCACTCTAACAATCGTTTAAAACTTGGAAATAAGTTTCTTGCGGAATTCGTAGGAAAAAAATATTTCATAGTCCTTGTAGGACTATGAAATATTTTTTACAAACGAATTTTGCATGAAAAAAAAAAGAAAAGAAGAGTTTCTTC